CAATGGAACAGAATAGAAGATCCAGATATAAATCCACAGGCCTACAGCCAGCTGATATTCGACAAAGGAGCCAAAGACATACAATGGAAGAAACACAGCCTCTTCAACCGCTGGTGCTGGGAAAACTGGGCAGCCACATGCAGAAAACTAAAAGTGGACCCCAGCCTATCACCATGCACCAACATCAACTCAAAATGGATTAAAGACCTTAACATTAAACCTGAATCTCTGAAACTACTGCAGGACAGAGTAGGAGAGACACTTGAACTAATAGGCACAGGAAGGAACTTCCTGAACAGAGTCCCAGGGTCACAACAAGTTGGAGAGAGACTCGACAAATGGGACTACCTTAAAATAAAAAGCTTCTGCACAGCTAAATCTATCGCAACTAAGCTAGAAAGACAACCAACTAATTGGGAAAAAATATTTACCAGCAATATATCAGACAAGGGGTTAACATCCTGTATATACAGGGAACTCAAGAAACTAATCCCTCCCAAACCTAACAAACCAATTACTAAATGGGCAAGGGAACTAAAGAGGGACTTCTCAAATGAAGAAATAAAAATGGCAAAGAAACACATGAGGAAATGTTCATCATCCCTGGTGGTGAAGGAAATGCAAATAAAGACAACCCTGAGATACCACCTTACCCCAGTCAGAATGTCCCACATCCACAAATCAGCCAACGACAAATGCTGGAGGGGATGTGGAGAAAGAGGAACCCTATTACACTGCTGGTGGGAATGTACACTTATACAACCACTTTGGAAAGCAGTCTGGAGGGTCCTTAGAAAGCTAAAGATTGACCTCCCTTACGACCCAGTCATACCACTTCTAGGCATCTACCCTGAACAACAGGAACCAATATACAAGGACACGTGCACCTCCATGTTTATTGCAGCACTGTTCGCAATAGCTAGGATATGGAAACAACCTAGGTGCCCCACCACAGATGAATGGATCCAAAAATTGTGGTATCTATACACAATGGAATATTATGCAGCCATTAGAAATGACAAAATAATGGCATTTGCAGGGAAATGGATGGAGCTAGAAGGAATCATGTTGAGCGAGGTAAGCCAAGAACGAAGAGACAAACGGTACATGGTCTCCCTCATAAGTGGATGCTAAATCCAAAAGGTTAGTGATACGACAAAACTAACAGGACTTAAGAAACAAAGAACTCTCGCTCATCTGGTTGAACCACTACTAAATATCCTCATGCTGCTGATCACAAATATGGTATATAACATGTGAACACTGTTATATATTACAGACTGTGGTAGACAATTTGCTCCAGGGAAGTTAGAATGAACTTGTGACTTTGAAATTATGTAATCATTTAATCACAATCAAAAAAAAAAAAAAAAAAAAAAAAAAAGAACCTCGGGGAAGGGAGGGAGGGAGGGGATGGTAGGGGGAAAACAATGGAGGGGGTAACAATGTTCAAGAGGAAGTGTACTCATAACCTCACTCATGTAACTGTAACCCTCTGTATAGTAGCTTTACAATAAAAAAATAAAAAAAAAAAAAAAAGAAGGGGCAAACATCTCTGATATTAAAAAGGTGAACCTGGAAGTGGAAGCGTGGCTCAAGTGGTAGAATGCCAAGCCTTGAGCAAAAATGCTAAGCAGGAACACAAGGCCCTGAGTTCAAACCCCAGTACAGGCACAAAATATATACATACATACATATAAGCATACATGCAAAAAATACAAAAATGAATTTAAAAATAAATTAAATGGTGTACTTTGACCCTAAAGTTCAGGCATGTCTGGCACAAAGCACTATTACAGGCCAAGCTGAAAGAAAGACTAACAGAAATGCTTTTCAGCGTTTTAAACCAGTGTGTCTGACTAGTTTAACGGAGCTTGGATGAAGCTTTGACTGCACAATCAGTGTACAGAAGGGCACCACTTCCTGTTACAGTTTTTGTTTAGACATAATTCATTCTTTGTAGTTCAAATGAAGAAAGCTGGAAATAAAGTTTAGAATATAACTAATAAAATATTGTTTGCCTTGTTAAAAAAAATTACCAGCTATGCAAAGAAACAGGAAAATATGATCTTTTCCAGGATAAAACATAGTTAATAGAAACCGATATGACAAAGATGATGGAATCATCAATTTCTATAAAAGTTTATACACACACATTCAAAGATTTATAGCATGAAGATGACAAGGAAAGAAGTGAAAAAGTAACAAAATGTTACACAGAGCCAGTAGCTCATGCTTATAATCCTAGCTACTCAGGAGGCTGAGATTTGAGGATCACGGTTCAAACCCAGCCCGGGGAGGAAAGTCCGTGAGACTCTTATCTCTGATAAACTACCAGAAAACTGGAAGTGGTACTGTTGTAGAGTGCTAGCCTTGAGCTGAAGATCTCAGGGACAGTGCCCAGACCCTGAGTTCAAGCCCCAGGACTGGCAAAAAAAAAAAAAGTTACACGGGCATCACATCAATCTGACAGCCATTCTTATAAATGTCATTAAAAGTAAGGAATAACTAGAAACTGTTAAGAGACTAAGGAAACACAACTAATTGCAATGTAGTTTCCCAAATGGGATTACAAAGTAACAAATGAACACTAAAAAAAAAAAAAACTGGAAAAATTCACAAAAACTCTGGACCAGTTTCATTACCAGTAATGTACTGTGGTTTTTCCCACTCTTTGTTTTGACAAAGGACCTCAGGAACATAATATAATAACAATAGGGGAAACAAACTGGGTGAGACAATTTGCTGCATTATCTACACAAATTCTCTGGAAGTCCAAATCATTACAAAATAGCTTACTAAGGGTGCTTTTTTAATATGCTTTAAACTATTTTGGAAGTATATACAGACAGGTATGTGTGTACATATATACATATATATTTGCATATTCATATTCTACTGGCTAGAAATAAAAACAAGAAACTATGTATCAATCAAATAGTCATACTAAGACAATATGACAAATCTCTGGCTCTTACCTTTTTTTTGGGGGGGGGAGGAGGCATTGATTCCTGAATAGTGTGATAAAGATTAAATATTCTTTCTCACATTTATAGGAAATTTGTATGTAATTTTAGAAGATTCATATATCCACTGAAATTCAACCATTAACAAGAAAGGATCTGGAGACTATACTAAAAACTACTGTAAAACCCTTACGTTTAAGGTATCTACTTGTAGGACAACTTTTCAAAAACATAAGCCTGGAAACCATAATCCAGGTATTTTTTTTTTTCTTTTAGACCCACTGGACCACGAAATCAGCCAGTGAGATCAGAATCTCCCAAGAGGTCCACAATCACACGGACCAAAATTGACACAGCACAGACTAGGGCACCAAAAGTGATGGACCAAGAGTTTCTTACAAACCATTTTAGAAAAACTTAACAGTAAAACAAATTCTGCTTGCCAATTTGTAAAGAATAAAATCCTTTGATCAGACCTGGGGATGGTTGCCAAAACATTCAGTTAATTCATAGACAGTATGAACCAATAGCACCAACTGTGTAACTTGATTTATTTTGTTTATGAGACAGGGTCTCACTATGTAACTCCAGTCTGGCCTTAGATTCATGATCCTAACTCCACCTCTAAGGGCTAGGATTACAGATATATGCCACCATGCCTAGCTTTCAGTATATTGGGGGGAGGGGGGGGGTTGTACATTTTTTATTGTAAAAATGCTGTACAGAGGGGTTACAGTTACATGAGCAAGGTAATGAGTATATTTCCTATTGAGCATTATTGCCTCCTCCTTTGTTTTCCCCCTACCATCCCTTCCCTCCCACCTCCACAATTACTCCCCCGCCCCAATTTTCAGTATATTGTTGAATAATCTTTTTTTTTTCATTTTTGCAGTGCTAAATCAAACCCATGGTCATGCACATGGTAGACAAGTATTTTATCAATGAGCTACATCTCTAATCTAATTACGTAACTTTGACTCCCACAACTCACTTTGTTTGAAACAATTGATGAGGTTAGTATGGGGCAGTTCCTAGATTATGTTTTAAAAATGCCTAAAATATTAGGGCAATTTGAGGGGACTCTTGATTAAAGATAACAGTAACTACTATACGGAAATGGCAGAGCCAAAGACAGACATATAAAGCCCATAGTTTAGAGTCATGTGCTTTAAAATATGTCACTAATGAACTACAATTTGATAGGTATTAACTTTTATTTGGTTATAAGCTACAGGTATAACCACAAACTCATCAGAACAGAACTAAATGACTGCAAAAGGCCCTGGTACTTAGTGATATCTTTTTTACTCAAAGCTGGCTGCTGGTGGTACCCACTGTATTTCTATCTACTCAGGAGGTTGAGACTTTGGAGGATCACAGTTCAAAGCCAGCCCATGCTGGTAAATGGGAGATAAGTGGATTTGTTTGCTGGGCTGGCTTAAAAGCTCAATACTTAGATGTTGGCCTCCTAAGTAGCTAGGATTACAGGATTGAGCCACTGGAATCTAGTTTAAAGTATTAAATTATATGATGGAATAAACATTAAAAAATAATTTTGTGGAGAAAAATCTCTTGCTAGTCTTATACTGAATAAATTACCTCTTCTTTTTGTGCTTTAAAAGATTCAGAGGCCAAAATGCTTTTGTAGGCCAAATTTATTTCTGAATTGCCTAATATGTATCTTATTCCATACAGTAGGTGCACAATACTATTTTATCAATTTAATATGGCATGCAGTAATTTTTCCTTTTTGTCAAAACAATCCAAGTTCATTGTAAAGAATTTAGGTAACACAGATAAACAAAAAATAAAAAATATATATAAATGATCCAAAAATTATATTACCCTCAAATAAGTTACTTTTGTATACTTTTACATATTTGTGTAACCAGGAAGAAGGCCCACAGGGAAGAAGCTAACACCTCTTTCTAAAATAATGTCCTCCTAAGGCTCCTGCTGCTGGCTACTTCCTTATTTTCTATGATGTGACTCCATTCCCCAAATCCTGTAGTAGAGTGAGGATGAATATCCTACCTGTATTAGTCAGAGTTTGGTCAGGAAAACAAGACACCACCCTAGATTTTCAAACCTAAAAAAGAGGAAATTTAATAAGGAAAGTGGTTACACAGGAAAATGGAAAAACTAAGAAGCCAAACACAGGATGGTGAGGTAACTGAAAGTTACCAAAAGTCAGAGGCAACTGTTACTCAAGAGTTGAAGAGATGGTTTTATCAGAGCAGAATTGTGCTTCCAAAAGCAACCAGAAGCGAGCACTAGTGGTTCACGCCTATATAATCCTAGCTACTCAAGATGCTGAGACCTGAGGATTGCTGTTCAAAGCTAGCAGGGCAGGAAAGTCTGTGAGACTCTACAATTAACCACCAGAAAACTGGAAGTGGCGCTGTGGCTCAAAGTGGTAAAGCACTAGCCTTTGAAGAGACACGCCCAGGCCCTGAGTTCAAAGCCAAGTGACAACAAATTTTAATGTGTGCTCATAGACTGAATACTGAATTAAAAATTTTGAAAATATACACCCATGTACTTTTTATAGTTGTACCTAAAGATTAAATTTCTTGAGCATGATAAGTTGGTTGTGATTATGTAAAATAGTGCCTTTGTTCTCAGAAGACATGTTGAAGCATCTAAAGGTACAATGCCATGATTTTTCCAACCAATTCTATACATATATGCATAGCAACAGAACATGTGCTCAAACAAATGTGGCAAATGATAAAATTGGAGAATCTAAGTGTCCAGTCTATAAGCATTGGCTTAACATTTTTCAAAATAAAAACTAGAGAAAAAAAAACAGATCTCCAATAAAACAATAAATAAATAAAAAGCTAGAAAAAAAAGGCCTGACCTCTTATTGTTGGAATTAAATGAAAGGAGAAACTGAACCAACCAGTTCTTAAAAATTCAAGCCTAAAAACCCAAAAAGAATTTGCTAGCTAACAGCAAATTTTGGAGATACAGAAAAGCATGAATAGACACAGGGATTAGCTAAAAGTCAAATGCAAACCCAAACAATGAAGTGGGAGAAAAGATCCAGCAAACTAGTTGTAAAAACAGCACCAAGAATGCTTCTCAGCTATGCACTGGTGGCTCATGCCTATAATCCTAACTACTCAGGAGGCTGAAATCTGAGGATCGTGGTTCAAAGCCAGTCCAGGCAGGAAAGTCCATGAAACTCTTCTCTCCAAGTAACCATCCAAAAACTGGAAGTGCAGCTGTGGCTCGAAGTAGTAGAGTGCTAGCCTTGAGCAAAAGAGCTCCTGGTTAGTGCCCAGGCCCTGAGTTCAAGCCTCATGACCAACAACAAACAAACAAAATGCTTCTCATTTCTCCAAGTCCCTGCCACTTCTCTCATAAGAAGGTGAAGTCTATTTCTTCTTCTGAGCCTGCTTTGCCAACAGAATGCAGCAGAACAAAGAGGATGCCAGTTCTTTACCATTCAGAGGTTTCATATCTCCCTTTTTCCTTCTCTGCGTACTGTAATCAAGGCCCACTGAAATGCTGCTAAGATTGGATTCGCTGCTGTCACTAGCTGATTTCTATACCTCAGTCAATCTAGATCCTTCCATCCCAGTCAAGCTGGCTCAGCTACTAGACAGATTGCTCCTGCCAATCTCTTTCCCAATACTACCACCACGGGCCAATAAATAAATGGTAATAATTATATAAAGCTGATGAACTTATGGGAGAATTGTTATACAGTTATACTGAACAGAGCAGTCAGACATGAAGTGATGCTTATAAGGGAGAATGAAAAAACTGCTCCTTTATCATTCCAGTTCATCTCACATTTGAATTAAAAAATAAACAAAAAAAAACTCCTTCCTCCTCCTCCTTTTCCCCCTCCTCCTTTTTCCCCCAGAATTGGGGCTTGTACTCAGGGCCTGGGTGCTGTTCCTTAGCTTTTTTTTGACTCAAGGTTAACATTCTACCACTTGAACCACAGCTTCACTTCCAATTTTTTGGTGACTAATAGGAGGTAAGAATCTCAAGAACTTTCCTGCCTGGGCTGGCTTCAAACTGCAGTCCTCAGATCTTAGCCTCTTGAGTACCTAACAAGTGTGAGCTACTAGCTCCTTCTTCTTAAGTTTTCAAATTTGTGTTCCTTATAAGAGCCAGAAATACATGCCCCTCTCTATCTTTTTTCTTTTCTGACATTATTGTTTTCTAAAGATTCAAACAGACATTTTTATTATTTTTTTTTTTTTTTGGCCGTGCTAGCGTGCTACCACTTGAGCCATAGCACCACTTCTAGCTTTTTTTTTCCTTCTACTTATGTGGTGCTGAGGAATCGAACCCAGGGCCTCATGCATGCAAGGCAAGCATTCTACCACTGAGCCACCTTCCCAGCCCTCAGTTTCTCTTTTATTGAGTAGCAGCACCTGATTTTTAAATGGTGTATTGTGAAATGCATCACACAAATAGAAGGGCGAATGAAGTTAATGACTCCAGTGAAGTATGATAGTAGAGTATTATTTTAGGGCATCCTCCTCTCCATTTCAGACATACAACAAGGGCCAGCCTTTAAGAAGTGTTTATTCCACCACAATTATCGCCTCTTTACCCTGTAGTGATAAATGCTTAATGACCTTTGTGCTCATTATTGCCATTTTTCCTTTAGAGCTTTTACTCTATAGGCATTTCTAAGCAACACAAGATTTGGTTTTGGAAAAAATGAGAAGCAAGCACCAATCTAGGAGAGGAAGGAAAGGGTGATGTGTCTACTGTTAGAGGAAGGTTCAACTGGGGGAAAATAAACTGAACCGTCTCTGGGTGGTTGTCTGGCATCCTCTGCTTCCTTGAGGATTTACAAGAGCCTTTTATGGGAAAAACACTGAGTAAGATGATGAGTAACACCGGGAAAACATGGGGCTCAGCACATTGAGATGTGGTGGTACTGGAGCACGGGACAGGCTTTAGATGTCTGCCAAAGGGACAAGGCTGTTCTCTATTTTCTGTTCTCCATGACTTCCCCTCCACCTCCCCAGACACATCAAAGCAGAACATTTCTAGATGACAGGCTAACAGATTACAGGCAAGCAGGCATGGATGTACAGGTAGGAACTGCACCAGGATGTGGCCAAAATAGTACTAAGAAAACCCTGCCCAGGGGCTGGGAAGGTGGCTCATTGGTAGATTGCTTGTCTCGCATGCATGAGGCCCTGGGTTTGATTCCTCAGCACCACATAAGCAGAAAAAGCCGGAAGTGGGACTGAGGCTCAAGTGGTAGAGCACTGGCCTTGAGCTGAAGAGCTGAGGGACAGCGCCCAGGCCCAGAGTACAGGCCCCACAACTGACTGACCAAAAACAAAAAACAAAAAAGAACCCTGCCCAGACTCTAAGTGTTAGTCCTTGCTCTAAGTCAGTATGAAGCCAGGTGACAATGACTCATGTCTGAAATCCTAGCTACTCATTAGGCTGACATATGAGGGCTGTGGTTCAAAGCCAGCCCAGGTAGAAATGATAAGACTCATATCTCTAATTAATCACCAAAAGGCCATTCGTGGGGCTGTGGTAGAGCACTAGTCTTGAGCAAAAAGTATCTCAAGAATATTGCCTAGGTTCGGAGTTCAAGCACCAGGACAAGCACATACAATAAAAAAGGCTGTATGATAAACTGGGTATGGGGTGTGGTGGTGCATACTTGTAATCCCAGCATTTGGGAGATTAAGGCAGGAGTATCATGAATTTGAAGCCAGCCTGGGCTACATAGTGAGACCCTGTTTCAACAACAAAACAAAAAATAATCAGGTAGAGCTAGGCATTGGTGGTTATAATCCTAGCTACTCGGGAGGCTGAGATCTGAGGATAGTGGTTCAAAGTCAGCCCCGGCAGGAAAGTCCATTTGACTCTTATCTCCAATAAACCACCAGAAAAACTGGAAGTGGCACTATGGCTCAAGTGGTAGAACGCTTGCCTTGAGTTCAAGAGCTCAGGGACAGCACCCAGGCCCAGAGTTCAAGCCCCGTGACAGACAAAAAAAAAACAAAAACCCTACAACTATCCGGTTATTGTGATGAAAAGCCTTTAATCTTTTTCTAGAGTCCAGAAGACCTGCTGCTTCAATATTCATATTTATTTCATTCAGTATCTAGTGTATAACTATAATCCTGTACTTTCCCATCTTTAGCTTAGTGATTTCTAGGCCCTCTTTGTTCTTGCCTTGTTCTCTCATATGGAAAACATTAAGGCCTCTCAGAGCTTCTTGAGAAAGGATTCAGGGAGGTAAATCTTGCATAAACGAACATGCATTTATTTTTGTGCTCATATGATTGATAATTTAGCTAGGTGCAGAATTCTAAATGGGAATAATTTTCTTTCAGAATTTTGAAGGCAGGGGCTGGGAAGGTGGCTCAATGGTAGAGTGCTTGCCTTGCATGCTTGAGGCCCTGGGGTTCGATTCCTCAGCACCACATAAGCAGAAAAAAAAGAGCCGGAAGTGGCGCTGTGGCTCAAGTGGTAGAGCGCTAGCCTTGAACTGAAGAGCTGAGGGACAGCGCCCAGACCCAGAGTTCAGGCCCCACGACCAGACCCAAAAACAGAATTTTGAAGGCATTGCTCTGGTGTCTTCTGGCTTCCACATAGTTTAGGCATGAAAAAAGCAGTCTAATTCCTGATCCATCATATATGATCTTTATTTTCTTATTTACTTTCTCCTTTCCCTTCCCCTCTTCCTTTTCCTTCTCTACTTTTTTCTCCTCCTCCTGGTCCTCCTACGCCTCTCTTTCCCCGCTTTTCTTTTGAGATCTCTTGACTTTTCTTGTAAAATTTCATGACTTCTGTGTCCACATGAGTCAATTTCATCCATTTTTCAGGGTAGAGAACTTTTTCAGTTTGGAAACTCATGTCCTTCCATTCTGGTAATTTTTTTCTGTGCTGTTTTATTGATGACTTCTCTGTTCTCTTTTATTTATTTGTCTGTTTTTTTGTTTTGTTTTTTTTTTGGGTCCGGTTGTGGGGCCTGAACTCTGGGCCTGGGCGCTGTCCCTCAGCTCTTCAGCTCAAGGCTAGCGCTCTACCACTTAAGCCACAGCACCACTTCCGGCTTTTTTTCTTTTTGCTTATATGGTGCTG